GACCTATTCCCTGGAAAATGTGAATGTTACTTTATATGACAAAGGAGACTGCAGATGTAACTTATGCAGATGTAACTGATTTTATTTTTATTTTAGTGGGCTCATTCTAATCACGTGAGTCTTTTAAAGCAGAGTGATTCTCTTTGGCTGGACTTAGATGTAACAGAAGGAAAAGTTAGAGGTATTTAAAGTGTGAGAAAAATTCAACCCATTTCCGGAGGGGGACACATAGAAAGCACCAGAATGTGGGCAGCTTCTACAGAGAAAAGGCCAGCCCCCAGCTGACAGCTAAGAAAACAGGGTCCTCTACCCTACAACTGCAATGAACTAAATTCAGCCAAGAACCCAAGTGAACACGGAAGCAAATTCTTCCTCAGAGCCTCCAGGGAAAAACACATTTGGTTTTGGCCTTATGAAACGTGATTTTGACCTTGTGAGACTTTAAGCAGAGGACTAGTCAAGTCCAGTCAAACTTCTGACCTACAGAAATTGTGAGAAAATATATGGATGTTGTTTTAAGCCACTAAGCCACCAAGTTTGTGATAATTTGTTACAGCACCAAGAGTAAACTGCTCATTATCCAAAATGAGCAGCAGAGAGAAAAAAAAAATTTTTTTTTGAAAACAGGGTCTCACTTTGTCACCCAGGCTGGAGTGTAGTGGCGCAATATTGGCTCACTGCAGCCTTGACCTCCTGGGCTCAAGTGATCTCTCACTTCAGCCCCAACAAACAGCTGGGACTACAGGTGCATGCCACCACACCCACCTAGAGAAAAAAATTTTTTTAAATGAATAGTCTCAGGAATTCATGGACAATGTCAGAAGGTCTAATGTTCATATTATCAGTGACACAGAAGTAAAGGACAGTATGGTGCAGAAAACAATATTTGAAGAAATCATAGGTGAGAACTTCCCAGATTTCTGAAACACAATCAGGTGGCTCTGTGAACTCTGATAAGGATAACCCAAAGAAATCCATGTCCGTATACATCATAGTCAAACTGATGAGAACCAAAGACAAGCAGAAAATCTTAAAAAGCAGCTGGGGAAAAATAAAGCATTACCTGTTGGGAAACAATAGTTAGAATGCCTCTGGATTTCTGAGAAAAAACCATGGGGGCCGAAAGGCATAGAACAATTTTTCTTTTCTTTTTTTTTTTGAGATGGAGTCTTGCTCTGTTGCCCAGGCTGGAGTGCAATGTCGTGATCTTGGCTCACTGCAACCTCTGCCTCCCAGGTTCAAGTAATTCTCCTGTCTCAGCCTCTAATCTCAGTAGCTGGAATTACAGGCACTTGCCACCACGCCCTGCTAACTTTTGTATTTTTAGCAGACACGAGGCTTTTGCCATGTTGGCCAGGCTGGTCTCCAACACTTGACCTCAAATGATCTGGCCACCCCTACCTCCCAAAGTGCTGGCATTACAGGCATGAGCCGCCACGCCCGGCCTCAATTGTATTTCTATATACTAACAATGAGCAAGTGGAAAAAAACTACAACAGCCCCTGCAAGTGAAATATAGTTTGAGACCCATTCATGGATCTCAAATCCAAAAATCTGAAATGCTCAAAATCTAAAACTTTTTGAGAGCTGAAATGACTTCAAAAGAAATACTCATTTAAGCATTTTGGATTTTCGAGTTGGGATGCTCAACTAGTATTTGCTTCAGGTAAAGCAAATATTAACCTGAAAATAATCCAAATATTTCTGGTCCCAGGCATTTTTTTTTTTTTCTTTTCTTTTGCCTTTTTTATTTTTTTTTTTGAGATGGAGTCTCATTCTTGTTGCCCAGGCTGGAGTGCAATGGTGCAATCTTGTTTCACTGCAACCTCTGCCTCCCAGGTTCAAGTAATTCTCCTGCCTCATCTCCCAAGTAACTGGGATTACAGGCACCCAGCTGTAAAAGAAAAAGCATTTGGCTTCCACTGGAATCTGGAGCCACAGTTCGGTGTCAAACAGAGCAGCTGTGCTTCTGTTTCAAATGCTGTTTGCTGAAAACCTCTGGATCAGAACAGGTGGTCTTGAGCCAGGTCCTTGGCACCGAGGGGATGTGAACAATCCTGAATTCCAGGGCCTACTGATGGAGTCTGCTCGTTAGTCCCTTTGACACTGCCCCTTATGAATCCCAGTAGTCAGCCAGGGTGCCAAGTTTTCATATTGATTCTAAACAAGGCTGCAATCACTGTTTAGAAGTAATTGGGGGACACTGGAATTGTGCTCCTTGCTTCAGGACCCCTAGATTGCACCTAGATTAAACAAGATGGAAGCTCTCAAAAGGCTCTAAGTCTAGGCCTCCTCTGAGGTAGGGTCTGAAAGGACTTAAACCATTTTTTTTCTTTTACACAGGGTAACTTTTTGGAACAGTACTTTATAACAATAAAGGGCTGTGCACAGAAAGGAGAAATGCCATTATGAGGATGTGTGTACCGACCTGGGACCAGCAGGGTTAAAGAGTCTATCATTCATGATGAGAGCTGCCATTTGCACTAAGCACACACCATGGGCCAGGCATTATGCCAAGAAATTGTTGAATCTTCATGACAACTCTGTAAGAAAAGGGATGTCATTGGACCAATGAGGACACTGATGCTCCCAGGGGTCCAAGTCGCATGAAGAGGAGGTGACAGGGCTGGGCACTGGTCCAAAGCTCCAGCCTTCCAAGCCAAGGCCCGAGAGAGGAACCTGAGGCCTGATGTCAGGCCTGTTTTTCTTTTTCTTTCTTTTTTTTTTTTTTTTTTGAGATAGAGTCTCACTCTGTGGCCAGGCTAGAGTTCAGTGGCACGATCTTGACTCACTGCAACCTCCGGGTCCCGGGTTCAAGTGATTATCTTGCCTCAGTCTCTAGAGTAGCTGGGATTATAGGTGCGTGAGACCACACCCAGCTAATTTTTGTATTTAGAGACAGGATTTCACCATGTTGGCCAGGATCTGGTGATCTGCCCGCCTCAGCCTCCCAAAGTGGTGGGATTACAGGTGAGAGCCGCTGCGCCAGACCTGATTCTATTTCTATAGGGTTCAAAAGCAAGCAAAATAAACCATAGCATTTAGGGGTGGGTTCTTACTAAAAGCAAGGAAATATTTATTGTACCAAGCAGGTCAGTGATTACTTAGTGAGGGAAGGGATTATGATATGATAGAAGAAGGAGACATGTAGGGCTTCTGAGGATACTAATCATACATATTTTTTGGTGGTTATATATGTTTTTGTTATATATATGTAAAACATATATATTGAAAAAAATGCATATATATATAGAGAGAGACAGAGTCTTGCTCTGTTGCCCAGAGTGGAGTGCAGTGGCGCAATCTAGGCTCACTGCAAACTCCACCTCCCAGGTTCAAGAATTCTACTGCCTAGTCCTCCAAGGAGTCTGGGATTACAGGCGCACACCCAGGCTCGGCTAATTTTTGTATTTCTTTAGTAGAGATAGGGTTTTTGCCATGGTTGGCCAAGGGCCTGGGTCTCTAGAACTCCTGACCCTCAAGTCGACTGCCAAGCTCAGCCTCATCAAAGTGCTGGGAATGTACAGTGAGTGAGCACCTGCCTCCCCCCAGGCCCTTTTTTTTATTCTTCAGAAAGAGTCTTGCTCTGATCACCCAGGATGGAGATGTAGTGGGCGGCGATCTTGAGCCTCATCTGTAACCCTCTGCCTCCCAGGCTCAAGTGATTCTCATGCCTCAGGCCTCTGAGGTAGCTGGAATTACAAGGCATGTGCCCACCATTGTGGCTAATTTTCTTTTGTACTTTTGGTAGAGTGTGTTTCAACCATTGTTGGCCAGGCATGGTCTCCAACGCCTGACCTCATGTCATCCACACGCCCTTGGCCTCCCAAAGTGCTGGGATTACAGGTGTCCAGCACGGCACTGGCCCCGGCCTATATATGTAGTATATATATTTTTTTTTTTTTTTTTTTTTTTTCCTTTTTCTCTTTTTTTGAGGAAAGAGTCATCGCTCTGTCATCCAGGTGGGA